AAAGCAACAACTCAGTCACTTTGGTATATGGCATGTGACACTTGTGGTTGGATGTCATTTGCTCAATTAAATGAAATGTAGATATCTTTGCAATTATTACAAGTACATGCATGCAAGAGCAATTCCTAGGTAATGATGATATATATTTTCCTGCTTGCCAAAGATAATCATTGTTTGTGTAGTTTAACTTCACTGAAATTCAACTTCTGCTTATTGCACTAACTTTAAATTTTTCCCCCAGAGCAAGGTGCAGCGTTAGAGTTGGAGATCACACTAGAAACATTACTGCATCGTTATTCGGTAATCTAGCTGAAAAATTCTTACATCTTCCAGCTGAGAAAATAATGAAAGATAATTTAATGGTAATGTTTATTTGTATTTATTTATTATTGCATTCAGAAAGTTTCCTCAACTGTTTAGCTTGATACTATATTGTTTACTGTTTTGCATACAACCATATCATATCATTGGTGATCATAAGTCTAACTATGTGAATGAAGACCACTTCATTTATATGAAAGTAGGAAACCCAAATCCAAAAACTAACGAACCGAGGTTCGATGTGATATATATTCTTGATGACAACCGTGAACTTGAACAAACACCTCCAGTAGTTTCCTCATATGATGCAAAGAATAGAGCTTCATTCAGCTACACACGTCCCTCTAAAACCAGTCAACAATTCCCACCTCCTGCACGAAAATTTGGTCTTTGAAACAGAGATTCTTGAGCAACCAAAAAAACAGAAGATGGTGTCATCTGACCTTCCTAAAAATGATACAACTGGAGTTCATCAACCTGAGAGCCCATCACTGTAACAAAAAAGCTGTCCCATGCCTTCAGCAATTCAACTAGCAACTTATGTGTTTTTGTTCTTTTGCTAAATGCAAATGCTGGGAATCATTTTGTAGAAACTTTGCCAGCAACTTGAGCAAGTCAGCAACAGCAAAACTTCTTTTGACTAAACGCCTATTTTGCATATGATTGTGTTGCAACTTATGCATGACATAAGCTTAATTTTAAATTTGATCCACTGTGTTTATGTATTGAACATGGCCAATGTATTATGTTAGTGTATATAAAGTGATTACATGCATGGAATTTATTGCACTTCTAACTTTTGCGAATCTGAGTAGAGACTCTCAACTCTTACTTTGTATTTTATTTAGTTCTTTACAGAATATATTTGCAACACTAACAAAACTTTATATTACCAGATTGTGTGATATTAAACACAAATTATAAAGCACTAAGTCTTGTATATATCATTGAATGCTTATATTGCCTAAAATGAATTTAACAGCATCTCGTGCAACACACGATGCAGGACTAGTTTGATTTAAAACGGATCTTTTTATGGATTTCTTGCATGTTTTGCAATTCATTTCTTGCTAAATTTTGAAATTGGATTTTAGGACTCTACTATTTATCATCCAAAGTTTGATTCTTTATTTTTGTACGTCTACTAATATCACTCGCACTAGAAAAACATAACGAGCCGGCTTCTGCTTATCATCGCCCTCAAGTGGTGCAATGGAGCCACCAGAGGAAATTGGTTTGCAAGAAACACATTCAACTGTGCAAGAATCGGGACAGAAGTCTCATATTCAACTGTAAAACCCTAATTAATCAAAATATAGTATGTATCTCTATATCCATATATTGTATTTTATGCCGGGATTTCTGATTGACTTTGATATTGCTACAAAGCCAATTTATAGAATTGGAGACTTGAGACTGAGAATAAGGGCGCGTTTGATTGTAATTGTGGAAAATGGGTGGAAAGAAAATGTTTTACAGGAAAAAGATTTGTCTAGAAAATATTTTGTAGGGAAAAT